CCGTGAGAAGATGCTGCTCTGGGCGGTGGGGCCATGGACCAGAGACCAGGACGGTGGCATGGGTGGAGAATATTGAATGTACTACAGACCGCCAGAAGCACAAACAAATGTCTCAAAAGTCCAGCCAGAGCGCTCCTTAGAAGCAAGGGTGGCGAGACTTCATCTCATATACTTTGGACATGTTGGGAGAGACCATTCCCTGAGAAGGACTTCATGCTTGGTAAAGTACAGGGGCAGCACAGAAAAGGAAGTCCTTGGACCAGATGGATTGGCACCAGGGCTGCCACAGTGGGCTCACACAGAACAGTCGTGAGAATGAAGCTGGACCGGCGGTGTTTCCTTGTGTGGTGCGGAGGGTCTGAATCGGGTGGCATCATGGGCGAGGAGCTGGGCTGCTAACGACGAGATCAGCAGTCTGAAGCCAGCAGCCACCCCACGGGGGAAAGACGAGGTCCGCCGCTCCCATAAAGACGTACAGTCTCAGAAACCCCAGGCGCAGTCCTAGCCTGCCCTAGGTTGTGTTGGAACTCACCAGCCAACCACAGCGGCCACTAGAGGGCCACCTCCCCCGGTTTATCGTCCCCACTGCAGGTGCGTTCACTGCCCTGCCTCAATGTGGGGGGCAATCTCCCATTTTGTGGGGTTTGTTAGTTAAGGGACCCTGGTGGTGTCATGGCTTGCGCAGCCGAGCTGCTAACCACAAGTTCATCAGTTTGAACCCATCTGTTGCTCCACGGAGAAAGATGAGGCTGTCTGCTTCTGTAAAGTCTCAGAACTCCAGAGGAGCCGTTTACCCTGTCCTGTCGGGTCACTGTACGCCGGAATCCACTCGATGGCAATGGCTGTGAGTGCTGTTGTCACCAGGTCAGCTCTCACGGCGGGAGGGGGGGCGCGAGGTGTGTCTCTGCAGGTCCAGCTCAGGGATGCTCTCTCTCCCTCACCTTGGCCGCCCTCCACTTTCCCAGACACCGTGCACGGCGGTCATTTTGGTTTCTTCTGAAGAGGCTCCCAAAGCCGGGGAGTCGGTCAAGGAAGCATTGCTGCCAAGGCTCCCTTCACACGTGTGCAGCTTCGTCCCCAACAGCACGTGCTGTCAGCGTAGCTCTGTCAGCAGATAACGCCCCCCACCCCCACCTGCAGACCCCTGCCTAGTCTTGTTGTGACTGGAGCCACGCGTTCTTGCCTTCCCCAGACACTTAACTTGGAGGCACAGGGAGGTCTTCCCATAGAGAAAGGGACTTCCTTTGCATGACTAGCTCCCCGCTGCTTCTCTGCCCACCCACGTATTCATGGGGAGGGACTGATGAGAAATTCTGCTAGGGGTGGCAAGGGCTTTTGGGTATTGTAAGGATTCTGCACATACTCAGCTAGGGTGCCTTCAAGAGGCAGGACATTTTGGGTGCCATGGAGGAAACGTGACGTCTGGGCTACTATCAAATGTTGAAGAACACTCAAGTGAACATCTTCCCAAATCCTTGAAGCTTCATAACAAGTTTACAAGTACACTGCTCCACAAAGAACGTTTTTCTTTTTAGATGGATCACATGTTTGAAGGGAGGTCGGAAAGACCTTCGAGATGAGTCAAGAGAGGAAGACCATCAGCCCCCACTAATGAAGAAACTGCCTGAAGTCCCAGCCCCGGTGGGAGAAAACTTCAGTGACCCTCCGTGCCACAGCTGCTGAGTGGGGACCTCATGCTGGCTGGCTGGCCTTTGCCATTTTAATCAAACAGCTTGGCTTAACGGGTGCCAAATGCATTGTACAAAAATCAGAGAGCTGACCTTTCTTTCCATCAGCAAGCTAACAGCTAGTGAAAAGGATTGTGAAAATGGTGTGGGGTCACCTCTGGCCTCTGGCTGCCGAAGGGAGGAGGAGAATCCAACCCTACACTAACCCAGGGCCAACTGCCACAAGGTAGAGATCAGATGGCCCCCAAACTCCATCCTGCTCCCTATTCCATGCCAACTATGTTAGGCTGGGTTGACTAGAGAAACAAATTCAGTGACACTCGTGTAAGAAAGAGCTTCATGGCAAGAAGCTCTACATATCAGGAAAACATCCAGCCCAGTCCAGATCAAGTCCATACGTCCCTCTTCAGACTCACACAGTCACAAGCAATGGTGCAGAGTGCAGGAAGATCACAAGGCCAGTGGGTGCAAAGTCTTGTGGATCCGATGGCGGTGGAAGCATCTCCAGGGTTCTGGCCACGATCAGGGTCAGCCAGGAGGCCGGTGAAGGCAGAGGGGGCCTAGGGGGAGGTTCCCAGGTCCTTCCCTAGGAGAAGGCCACGCCATAAGGAGGCACCATCATCAGGCTGTGACCTGATTGACAGGTTGAATACCACTTCTACACTTTTATATGTCTTCAAGTTGACATGAAATTATGTAACGATGCACCAACCATTCCTCCTGGGACACAGC